CAAATCCAGGTCACAGCCTTCTGGCCCAGGAGGAAAAGTTGTTACCAAATGAAGCGTGCTGACAACATACGGAGGCCTGTGCTACTGGAGCAGTTTCATCCTCACCCAGAAAGCAAAAAACCTGTAAGATTATGCCAAACACATGACACAATTTAGGTCGGAGCTTTGCTGCTCAAACACCCTGGCCACTGATACAGCATGGAATGGACTGGTTTGTTTCAGTGCTGACTTTACATTTTCTGAAAGGTTTCTCAGAGAGGAACGGATCATGGACTATATTACTTTTCCTTTTTAACCTGAATTTACTAGGCATTTGGGGGCAGTTTACTACTAAACACATTTATTTATCTGCATCACCTCCTGTTCAGTTCATTCCCATCCAAAAGTAACTTCAAGTACACCTGAAGCACTAAAGCTGTGAGGCTTGCAGCTCTCTCTTCAAACCATCTAAGCACCTAACATTGCTATAGGCATAGAAGACACCCTAAATGGTGCCCCAGGAAATGCCCATCCACTGATAGCTAAGCTTCTTCCTTTGGCTTCTTACCTAGACACCTGTAACTAGATGGCACAAAGCTGGGATATGGTGCTTATGTCTGATCTGATGAACACTGATGTGAATTAGAATTAACTTCCATGCCAGCAGGGTGAGTTACAGGAGACAGAGACAAGGTAAAATCAGATTTAGGGCTCTTGTTTCCACTTTCATGTCTTTGCTTCAACACCGTGCATGTGAGATTCACAAAAAAATAATAAATACATATGGAGATTTCTTTTATAGGTGGCCAATCACTGATTTAGAGTGAAAAACATCTGACTGCATAATATGTCACGCTGCAGCTCTGCCCCAGTGAAGACCATACTCTTTATATAAATGAAGCTATTTTGATTCAGTAAGAATTCTGTTCTCGAAAGGAATGGAAGCAATAAACTAAATGCGGATTAAAATACCAGATCTTGTCATCCTTCGATGCATTAAAAGACCAAAATAATCAAGACTTTCAAATGCTATGTGAAACTGTGCAGAGCAGAAAAGCAAACTTCTTGCTTGTTTTGGCAGAGGAAGCTCTTTACAGCTTTTACTTGTTATAAGTCGGAAAATACAACATTGCATTTGCTAACCCAATAGATCATTTTCCTATCCAAAAAAGGACAGCTTCTTTTGTAAACTTACCAGCTAAGGACCATTTTGTGGGAAGTATTGCTTTATCTAACATCTCACTGTAAATATTTTAAATTTTAAACTCTTCTTCAACAAAAGAATATTCTTTGATGCTGAGTAAATAAGCATGTTTTGTCAAAAGAATAAAGTTTTCTGATGATATGTAAAGGATTAAATACTTCAAGGGAAAAAGGACAAGAACTGGACATCCACAATTACATATGATTGCAATAGCAGGAGCAAAATCCAAATAGTGCTTCCAGTATCAATCATTGCATTTGACCCAACTTAGTGTGGGAGACTCCAGCCCAGAGCCTAGAGTAAATGATCCCCTGGAAGTGATTCAATGTAATTGGCAAACACCAAGAGAGGGGTCTGGCTTGTTAATATCAGTTACTGCCTATTGCTGTGAAGAAGCATTTTGAAAGCACTGTCTGGGGCCAAGACAAAGAACATTCAGAAGAGGATGGTGACTGGAGGTAGCTGAAACAATAGTTGAGCGAGTCAGTGCTTACTGAAGATCAAGAATAGCTAAGCTTTCTCTACTTGGATATCTAAAACTTGAAACAACCTAAAAAAAGTAGCCTCTACTCGTGATCCCAGCCACTGAGAAACTAAATTTGCTTCCAGGCTTCAGTAGTTAGAAATGGCTTTGGAAATTAACCGAGAAATTCCACCTTGAAGAGAAGAAAATAACTGTCTGAAAATTACTGGACAGGTAAGCAAATCCTGATAGTAATGTCAACATGCTTTGATTCAATTACTGTTTCTTAGGCTGTTAGTGCTTATGCCTTACTGGTATTCAGCATGTGACACCTTCAGACAAGTGAAGAAGGAAAGAAAAGGCCATTTATGAAATCATGATTGAAATGTTGACTCTTTTGGTCTTTAAGCTGCTATAACTTTACCTCCTTGTAGACACAAGTGAGCTCAAAAGCAGTTCAAGACATTGTAAATATCACTGTACTCCAGAATGGCACATTCAGTGGATGCTGGTGGGTTTATGCTTTGTGGCAGACACCTGCAGTGCCCAGTAAAAAGCCTCCTGTAGCTGGCAGTGTTATCAAGGCATTCACAACATCCCTCTGTCACTTGTATCTCCTGAGGAATGCACTGAAGAGCCATTAAAAGGTCTCTTTGCTTTAGTGAGACACTTCCTACATGAACTGCAGAGGCTTCTCCTCCTCTGCTAAATTCAGTTGAAATTGGTCAATGTAATAAAATGTTGGGATGAGGAGACAGTGACATAGAATAGCTTTATTTAGAAAACCAGGCTAAAATCTAAATAAAAAAGGCACTACAAGTCATACCTGATTATACCAAGAGGATCTAAAACTTCCTCCTCTTCTTCCTCCTTTTCCTCTTCTTTTTTTCCCCCTTTTTTGACATTTTCCAGTGATGAAAGCTGTGAGATTAAGTCAGGTGTCTTCTCCTCTCTGAAGAAATCCAATGCTTCATTTTCTTCCTCTTCTTTCTCCTTGTCATTAGGCATATTTTTACCTTTGAAGTCAATGGCACTAGAAGATTTTGTTCCTGCAAAACACAGTAACGGATGCAAAACTGAGTACACAGGATAACAATCACAGATTTTTTAAACCTTGCACCTGTTCCTGATGGTTTTCTTTGAGGAATGAAGGACATGATCAACTTTGAGAAACTCTTTCAACATTCTCACTGTTCCCTTTATCTACTATATGTGATTAAATGTCTAAGCTGTTTACTGATTTAAAGTAGTGCAGTAGAGAAAGACAGAGGAAAAGAACTTTGTCTGAGATGCAGAGGGACATGTCAAATCTCCTTTCTTATTTATGCTACTTCTGTAGTCAACAGAAGCAACCGAATTTCCATGCAGTGATTGATCTCATCCAAGTAAAGTTGTATAAGAAGTGTCTCTTTGAAACACCTATTTCTCTCCACTGGCTAGAGAGAGGCTGTAAATACTCTGCTTAGATGTAGGCAGCTAACTTTCATATAGCTAGTTGAGATAAAGTCCACTTTTTGACACAAACTTAATTCATTTGGGCTAAAATTAGAGTGCTGGACAGCATGAAAAAGCTTTCACAGGAGCTCTTCAATTTACACTCAAAAATGAAGCCTGAAGTTCTAATGCCCTTCAGTATGCAAGATCCATCCAACTGAGCAAATTCAGCCAACTGACACAAAACTAAAGTCTTCTCATCACACTTGTTATATGCTAAGCCCAGGAGAAGGAGGGAAAAACTATTCCTTGCTATGGAGCCTATGGATGGTCAGGAAAGCAATTTAAAATAATGAGACTAGCTAAAAACAGGCTAGTGAAAACCGTGAAGGACAAAATTAATGGTTTCATCCTTCTGACTACTGAAGTAACATGGCATGGGAGACTCATCTCACCCAGCTTGTCATGTTTCCATCTGCCAAACCACCCAGGGCAGACACTGACTAAATGTGGGTGTCCACACTCATCACCTGGCCTTATGCTCCCTTTATAGGCAAGAGTGTGCTGGTCAGGGAAGGCAGTAAATGTTAGGATGCTGCTTACCTTATCCCCATAGTCAACTGTGTTTTACCATGTTAACCCTCCCTAAACACCCCTGACTATAACACCTATATCTCCAAGATCTTTAAGAAAAATGAACACAACTAGCTCAAGGATCTGCAGTATATGTACTGAATTCCACCTGCTTTGTTAGGGTGAGACATTATTCGAAGGCAAAATTCGACGCATAGGTCACATTACTTGCACCCAATCTGTCCACAGTATAAAGGCAGACCAGACTAGTTTAGCTGCAGACATGTGCACCATGGTTAGGTTAATCAGTATGCAAAGACCAATCAACATGTTCTGAATTCTCTGTGCAAGGGGTCTACTTTCAAGAGAACAATGCCAGCAGGAAAAAAACCAATCCAAAACCCAAACAAAAACCACTCCAAAATTTATTACCAAAAGGATTTTGCCAAGTATTATGCAGTTTTGCCCCCCCCAACTTTAGGAAGCTGCCAGTTTCACAGACCTTCTAACCTGGTCATTTGCTTCTGCAAAATAGGCTGCTAACATTTGGTGACTTCCTACCACCTTTCAACTTCACTTCCTTAAAACTAATGCTCCACTGAGAATCCTGCACAGCACCAGGTTGGAGTATTCCCTGCTCAGCAGCTCTCAACTGAATTAAGAGCAGAGAGTTCATATGTTCCATTCAATCAGTGACTCCCTGCTATGCCCAGGGGACATAGAGAAGGAACTATATGAATCACTGGAAAAGGTGACAAGAGCTGGACATGAAACTAAAGCAGATTTTTTAAAAAGGGCCAGAGAATGTGTTTAACTAAAAAAGAATTATTAAAATATTTCTCAGAGTCAATAATTTGCATGAAAAACAGATAAAACATGGAACAGTTGCTCTCTAAGGGAGACCCTGCACTGCCTCTTTAGGGTCCATCTCTCCACTGACAATATTAGATTATTTAGCCTTCTTAACTTACATGTTCTGAATCACAGGAGGAAATCAGAGATGGGACAGCACAATGCTTGCTTTTAAGGTATATATCAACACCTCTGAATGAGACGTGTCCACTGAGAGAAGGAGAAAACGCTAGCAAACATGACTATGCAGCACTGTAGATGCATGAGGACATTTTCAGTGACAGCCTTTTTTCTGGCATTCTGAGCCAGCAGCGTGTGCTAGCAGCCCAGAAAGCCAATCGAATCCTGGGCTGCATCAAAAGGAGTGTGGCCAGCAGGTCAAAGGAGGTGATTCTTCCCCTCTAATCTCCTGAGACCCTACCTGGAACACTGCGTGCAGTTCTGGTGTCCTCAACACAAGGACACGGAACTGTTGGAGCAAGTCCAGAAATGGCCACGAAGTTGATAAGAGAACTGGAGCATCTCCTCTATGAAGACAGGCTGAGGAAGCTGGGGCTGTTCAGCCTGGAGAAGAGAAGACTGCATGGAGACCTCATAGCAACTTTTCAATATCTGAAGGGGCCTACAAGGGAGCCAGAGAGGGACTCTTTGTTTGGAACAGAAATGATAGGACAAGTGATTCAAATTGAAGGAGGGGAAGTTTAGGTTAGACATTAGAAAAAAGTTTTTTACTGTAAGGGTGGTGAGACACTGGAACAGGTTGCCCAGGGACATGGTGGCTGCCCTGACCCTGGCAGTGTTCAAAGCCAGGTTGGATGAGGCCTTGAGCAACCTGATCTAGTGAGATGTGCCTGCTCGTGGCAGGGAGGGTTGTGACTAGATGATCTGTAAGGTCCATTCCAACCTTTAAATTCTATGATCTTTTAGTTACCTAAAAATTCCAGTAACTCAGGACTTGTTGCCAGATCCTCATCTTTGGAGATGAATTTCATGATATCATTGAATATTGCTCTTCGTTCACAGATGTCAGATTCCCCCACGAAGAGAACCTTTCTAGGCAAGAGTGGAAGAGAAGCCTGTGGATATCGTGCCAGCAGTCTCTGGTAGAGCTCCTCTATCTCGCTGTACTTCTTGGAGACCTGCAATGAAACATGCTGCCTAGGTATGTTTCTTTAGGGCAGCACAGCAACAGTTGAAGTGCTGTGAAACATTAACCCTGAAAACTGTAGTGGAAAAACATGTATTAGCAAGGAGCTTTACATACAGCCTAGTAAAAGCCTGTTATCTACCCAACGAATCCCCAAGCATTGTTGCTGGTCTTCTAATTTAAAAAACTGGCATGTTTGCTGCCCTGCAGAGTACATAGCACAGAAACCTAAGGGCAAAGACCTTGTGTGACTCCTGACTATTCAGTTTATCCATGAGAAGATAAAACTCAACAACCGGGCTATTGCCTACAGGTTCTCATACAGGGAGAAGATGCCAACACTGAATGGAGTAATTCCTTTTGCAGACAAAGACAGGAAATCTGAGGAGAAATGAGGCCCATTATGTTACAAGGAAAGCAACAGCAATGGGAATGCTTGTCAGAAAGGTGTGGGCTTCTATGCCACATTAAGTTTTGAACTCAGTACCTTAAAAAACCCAAAACCCACACACAAACAAAACACTGTCTCTAGGTGATGTTACAGATGCAAAGGAGAGTGACTGTTATGCTTTGTGGTATTATACAGATAATATATTTGCCAAGGCCCTCCATGGCCCCATAATCCATGAATGTGTTTCTATTAATATAGAGATTAAAAATTAACAATCAAAAAAAAACTAGCACTAGTGGAGTGCATATGGCATGGATCCTCTGCTAGGGTCCAGCTCTTACCCTCCTGCAACATGTGTTGGTGAACTCTAGTGAAGTGAATTCTCATTAATACTGCAATGTGTGCACTATTGCACATATTGGGATGGATATAAAGATGGAGAGACTCAAACATCACACCCTGGAATGGAAGAAGACAGAGTTCTTCTACCAACACAGCCTAGCAAAAAGCCCAGAAGTAGAAGGGAAATGAGTTACAGATTAATGAAGAATCCCTAAACTGCATCTATACCAGCAAACTAAACAGTATTAGGCATATTCCCAGGCACCGGAAACCTTGTCTACTGGAACCTGACAATTTTTGGCAGAGTTTTGACTTTGGCAGCTAGTACTCCACCAGCTAATTTAACATCCCAAGGCTTAGCCTGGTGCAGAGACCACACAGTAGCCAGTTTGGGTATGGATGCCCACAGCAGATGGCAAGAAAGTTTCATACCGCAGATGCAGCCGGACTGTGTGAGCTGCCCTCCAGGCCAGAGAACACACCTTGACATTAATAGACACACCCTGACTAGTTTACTAAATCAGATGTAGGCATAAAGAGCAATAACCACCTTAGCTTTCACGCTTCCTGCCTTTTGCAGTAATTATCAACCAACCTAGCTGATTTTAAAACTATTTGCATTTTAGCTGTATAATGTTCACTATGGGTTCAGTGTCCAGTCACAAAGGGCAAGCAGGTCTGAAGATCTGAAGCACAAACCCCAACCTGAGTCAACAGAGGAATGAAAAACAAGAATTTTAGACTTCTTTCCTGTAAGCAACACAGGTACGTGTAACAATGTGCTCCACATGCTCCATGTGCAATTCAGCAGCCAAGCACCAAAGTGAGGGCAATAAATACATGTTCCAAAATATTATCATCTTCCTTTAGAAAGATACCCCAAAAAGACAGAGGAAAGTAATGTCAGAATTTCTGAAATGCTGTACATGTCTAGTTTACTAGGTCCCAGCAGCATTCTCAACAAGGTATGATACTGGAGCTATTCCCAACAATACTTTGTAAACACAAATGAAAGGCCAGTGAGGAATTCACTGGTACTTTTTCAGAATAATAAACACTATTACCCCCCACCCAGGGAAAAAAAATCAAGTCTGATTTGTGAAAAACATTTAACATCTAATTAATTTCAATAACTACCAAATTAATGTCTGAAAGCATTAGAAGACAGCAGCCAATCAAGATTATGCCGAAACAGTTTTAAAATACTCTCACACTGAACTGAGATACACAAACTTATTTCTTTCCCCACTTAATTTTCATTCCTCCTCTATCAAACTCCGTAAATTATTCATAAATCTCAATTTATGTCTAATTACAGCACTGAACCTAAAGCAAATGCACACCCTCACATCCTATCGCTAATTGCGCCTTTGTGGGTTTGCGTGGGCTTTGAACAACAACGTCAGCTGTACACACGACACAGCATACCAAGTGTGACAGCACTATCTCCAAAGCATACTAATATGCTTCCCCAAAGCCTGCAGCACTCCATGCAGGCTAATATCCAGCAGTGCCGGGATGCCCTCTGCTGGGATGACTAACCACACCACTGAGACGTCAAACCGCCAGCCAAAACCATCCCGCACTTGCCTAAGCCCATTGCTGGCCCCTGCAAGCCCCTGTCAGCTGAGGCTTCTCACTTCTTGCCCCTGTGTCTTAAACCCTGACTGCCACTGGCTTCTCAACACCTTTGCTCAATGCTGCTGCCAGCTTTCCCTTGGTTTTGGTGCTGGAAATGCAGTAGTAAGGCTGGCTGGGCCCAACAACCTTAGACTGATCCATTTAGAATCACTGAATGGTCTGGGTTGGAAGGGACCTTAAAGACCAACAAGTTCCAACCCCTCTGCCATGGGAAGGTACACCTTCCACTGGACCAGGTTGCCGCAAGCCCCATCCAGCCTGGCCTTGAATACTTCCAGAGATGGGACATTCACAGCTTCTCTGGGCAACCTGTAAAGAATTTCTTCCTTAAGTCTAATCTAAACCTAACCTCTGTCAATTTAAAGCCATTCCCTCTATCACTATCACTCCAGGCCCTTGAAAAAAGTCCTTTTCCAGCTCTCTTGTAGCCCCCTTAGGTACCGCAAGGGGCTCTAAGGCCTCCTTGAAGCTTTCTCTTCTGCAGGCCAAACAGCCCCAGCCCTCTCACTCTGTCTTCACCAGAGAGGTGTCCAGCCCTCTGATCACTTCCATAGCCCTTCTCTGGACAACAGGTCCACATCTTTCCTGTACTAGCATCCCCAGAGCCAGAGGCAGCAGCACAGAGGCTTTACAAAGTGCTGGACAGGTTCTGCAGAGTATCTTTTCTAAGCTAAGTCCCATGCATCATGCAGAGTATTCTCACACCTTTCCACTCAGGAAGCACTGCTCTGCCTTGACAATTTTGGACCTTTTCAATCTGACACCCTCTGACAATTTACTGGGAGAAAGGCATATCAGCACCTAACAAAATTAAATCTTGCTTTCCCTGGTTATTACTCACAACCCTTTGAAAATAGTTGAAGGATCCTATGGCCTGAAATGTCAGGATAAAAAATAAATGCCACTCTAAAGCCCATTTGATCAATCCTATTCAGCAAACAAAGTCCCATTTGATAAAAATTCAAATAATTTTCTTCTGCTGCATGTAATTCCTCTAGTGCAGTTATCCTCTCCCCCTCCACGCCTCTAACTGAACTCTGAACACTGTGGAGCTAAACCCTCATCACCTGTAAGTCAGTCTGAGTGAACAAACTTCAAGGAGTTCTGTCAAGTCACAGTATCAAAGGCTCAATCTAATTCACTTCAAAAGAGTTAATCATGCAAATACAGCAAAGCATGTGCATATCTGCCAGGTCATGACCCTATTTGCCTGTAACAACTAACATCCAACACAGAACTTAAAGAGAGACAGGGATGGGTTGAATACGCTTTTTTCACCAGGAACAAATAAGTAAGTTCAACGTGATCAAATACAGCTAGAAGGTTAAGAAAACCACCATGAAGTTCAAAGTGAAAGGCTGGAGTTTGCTGCTAATCCCTCAAAGCACATGCACGTGCTTTGCCCCTTTCTTCACAAGAACCTCATGCACAAAAGTACACACACCAGAATGCCTGTAGGACACAAGTCTGGGACTCTCAGTTGTGTGCAGAATTTGATCCACTCACTGTTAATGGGATGTAGTGCCTCCTTTCCCTTTAAAGCTCCTTTGAATGCTCCATTTCTAATCTGAAATTTGTCTTCATACACTTTTTATCTACTGAAGGATTTCAACAAAATGGAGATCTCAGAGCTAACTTGAACCTTCTGGTCACACCAGTGAAGAGCATGCTTGATTTCAAAGTATTTAATGAAAAATATTTGGCTGCTGTGACTTTCCTTGTACAATGCCCACTTCTTAGCACTGTCCCTTAAAACAACCACTAGTTTGGGGTACAGGAATCAAAAGCATCCCTCCTGCCAGACAGCAGAACCCAAGCTTTCACTTGGACATTCCCAATTCAAGCCATACCAGAATTAGTGTTGCTTGGTGACCTCATGGGTATGCATTATGGTAGATTTTAATTACATGACCACATGCTGTTCACCCCATCTGTTTTGCCCAGTAGAAGAGCAGGCACTCTAATACTTCTTTTTAATCAACATGAATTCCTAATAGCTCCTGAACCTATTGCTACACTGAGCATGGATTTCTCCCTCCCCCCATCCCCTCACATCACAGAGGTTATAATGTGCAGGAATTTATCTTCACAACATACCTGTATGGTCAGGAAACAGCAACTCCAATGCACAGATTTTGAGCCCCACAAAAAGAAGACCAACATATGCAAACAGGCAATGATGAAAACATAAACGAATACACACCCACATAGTTACACTCTCTCATTTTATGAGAAGAAGCCAGTTCTATAGTAAATGCCTACCTAAACTGTGCTGTGCCTGTCAAACACCAGTAGTTATTTGTTCTGCTTTGAAAAAGAAAGGGCTTGACTAGCAAATGTAACTTGTAAAAAGCTAATCAATTAAACTGGGTGCAAATAGAAAGAGAAGGTACTAAAGCAGGGTGGATTTTAATAAGGCTTGGAAGAGAGAAGTTAATTGCCAAACAGCTAAGGTGTGGCTAGAAGAAAAGTATTTAAGAAAAACAAAGCCTTTTCTTCTTCTCACAGAAAATGGCAGATCTACAGGCAATAATTAAGTATCACCTTGGCAGCAGTACCAAAGAGAAAACCAGTTTGTCGCTTTCCACAGGGCAAGAGTATTCTGACCTTTGAAAGAAATGCAGCTGACTTTCCTTCAATTACCAAATATAACCTCAAGGTTAAGCAGTTCTACAACCTATTTGCCCCATTTTACAATTAGCTTTTTTAAAAATTAAAAATCCCTCCAGTTTTGAAGAATTTAGATATGAAAGTCATCACAGAAGTTAATTTTTTCTACTGTTAATGTTTCACAAATGCTTCAATTTGAAATGTTATACTGATTTTGCATAGTCCCATTAAGGCTGGGAAACAGGGAACTCTGGATTGTTTAGACACACAGTAAAGGCTTCACAGGTCAGATACAGAATTTCTTGACGTTCACTTGGTGTTGGTCATAGGCCCTTAACATATATCAGTCTTAACAGGATGAGAGGTCATAGCCTCAGCATATGCCAGAGAAGGTTCAGGTTGGACATCAGGATTGCAGGGGTTGCTAAACATTGGAATGGAGTGCCCAGGAGGGTGGTGGAGTCACCATCCCTGGAGATGTTCAAGAAATGACTGGACACAGCAGTTAGTGCTATGGTCTAGCTGACAGGGTGGTGATTGGTCATAAGTTGCACTCAAAGATCTCAGAGGTCTGTGCCAACCTGAATGGTTCTGTGATTCCATCCAGTGTGGCCTAAATCGCATCACAGCTAGCTCAGAGGACACTAGTCGTGCCCAGGGGACACGCTGGAGCTGCCGGGGCAGCAAACGCCGCTGGGCGCCGGCACCTCGCTGCTGCCACCTAGCGCCCGAGCCGAGCACTGCCCCTGGGGCCGGCGGGAGAACGGCCAGGCCGGGAAAAACAACCCATCTGTGCTCCGCGGAGACAGAGGGGAACAAGGAGGTCTCAAAACACAGACCTGGCTCCCGATGGGGCCAAACTTGGAATAATGTAACCGGAGCCAATGAAAATCCTACCACACCTACCTGTCTTCTCTAACCTTTCTGTCATCTCAGCACTGTAACACTGGATCATTCCTCCAACTTTCAAATTTGGCAATTACAACAAAAGCAATAATTTTATTAAAAAAGTTCCCTCTCCAACCTGTTCCAAAACAGGCACACAGTAGTTTCCTTTTCCTCCTTCAGATGTCTCATCTCACTCCACCTTGTGATACAAATTTGATGTGTTCAATCTGCTGTGACAAAGTAACCTCATCTTTCTCTGCTGTTCCCCAACCACCTGGTTCTCTTACACTTCATCTGCAAACTCTCTGGAGGCCATAGCTCTTATTTGTGCTGATTCAGCATCCAGCCAAACAGGGCACTGTACGGACACTGGGTGCAACTCACCTCACCTGGCAGCCACAGTGCTGGGACTTGTTGCCAGGTTAAGCCAACTGTCTATGTGCAGGAGGTGTCTCAGCTCTCATGACAGTCAGACATAGTCACTACATTTCGGTAAGCTGTCACTGAAACTCAACTCATCTGAGCATGGGCAGCTAGTGGTACCTTGGATGATGCACCATATCTCACCTCACTGTGTTCCAGGGTGGTGCCAATGCCTTTATGTCCTCTGTCACACCTGCCAGCCCTGTGTACACACCTAGGATAATTTAGGGTTTCTCAAATGGTACCAGCCATGTATGTTATGCAAAGTGGGTTCCCCTCACTGTAGACGCTCAGCTACATTCTTCTCCACAGAACTGTATTGATTGGGATGGAGTGAGAAATTCATCAATGCAGATGTCTAATCATAGAGAACTGATTGTTCTGCCCAGAGACAGTCATACCAAGCCATCCAAAATGCTCTGGGGTATCCAAGGAGCCTGTTTGGGGCAGGAAAATACCACACAAGACCTAAGGGAGACCCATAACCTTCTGAAGGCCCGGTGGAAAATGCCAGGGCACCTCCAGTGGTACAGTGAGTTGTGGGCAACTCGGTTGTGCCTTCAGAAGAAGAGACTGGAGTTGAAGTCACCCCACTGCAACTGTCTAAAATGTAGATGCTTTCCCTTTACAGTCAGAGAAGAGAGGCATTTCCAGAGGATGAGTCACCTCATTCCCCTTCTCCTCACTGACCATAAAAACAAGGACAGACTCAGATTAAAATATCCAACTTACAGAGAGATAAGTTAGGACAGGTGAATGCTCTGCTCCTTTCAGTAATACATACAGAAAAGACTCATTGGAATGAATTGATGAAAAGCATCCATCCTCCAGGTTCCCAGCTCACGGTTTTAAATTACTCTCACACAACAAACTACATAATATATCAGATTTAGTCATCTGAAAAAAATTGTATCTGATGATATAAATATTATTCCCGTCAGGCTCCACCAGTATTCTTCTTCATGAAGAATGAAATGTCAGGAGATCTGACCAGAGTTCATTTCACTAGAGAAGTGCAACTAAGTGCTGAAAGTCCTCCAAGAAAGAGCAGACATGGGAACAGACAACCTCAGCAAGCAGTGGGGGAGGAGGCAGTAAGAAGTCTGTTTCTCATCTTTACAGACAAGCTGATTCTATCAACTTAATTCTTAAGTGAAGCAAAATAAAGTTAGATAACAATAGCCCAGTTCAACATTTCAGGTTTAGTCAGACTCCTTCTTGCACAGAGCTGCCTGGAAATATTACACAATATAAGCAGAAGTTATTGTACATCCCCTTCTGTTATCCGCCCATGTCAGGTTCTTAGAACAAACTTTAATGGGGCTGTGCAACTCACAGACTCAAGAAACAGGTGTAAACCAGTACTGAAAAACAACCCCCCAAATACCCATTTTTAGCCAGGACCAGTTCCTCAGCTGACGTGATGGAACAGCCACATGACACTGGCACACAAAAGGAAACACTGCGGGAGCGAGAACAAGCAGTCAGAGATGAGGAGGTAGAACAGAACAGACTCTTAGCTAGCATTGCATAAGAGTCTGCATAAGAGCATTGCATAAAGTTATATATAGCATAAAGAGTGCAATAAATACATGAGATCTCCTCATCATGCATCTCTTTACAACACTGATAGATGTTTATCTGCAAATCAGACTGTGAAAATAATCACTGATTAGCTGTCTTCTACAGAGTGTGAGTTACACTAGGGCTGATGGTCTACCAGGTAACCACACACTCACATGACTCTGACATTACAGTTACCACCAAAACACCTGAGAAGAGCAGATGTTCACAGCATGCATCCCTATATAGTCAATGGACAGAGTAGTGCACTCCTTGGGAATGGCTCAGCAGGCAGCTAAAAATCAAATGAAACATACCCTAAATACACCTTTTTCTATCAACTCAATAGACAGTCCCAGGTGAAACAGCTCAAGTGGATGTATGCATGCTACAGATGAGACTAATTTCACCTGGTTTAAGTCATGTGCTATGTTTTCAAATCTTTTCTCTGCAGGTATAAGGAAAAAGACAATCCAACTCAATAATGTTTCATATAGGCACTTCCTTGTAAAACTCTCTTACTAAGGATTTTAAAAGCCATGTCAAGGGTAATAGACCCATTCAAATAAGCTATTATATATTTATTTCATGTTTATGTACTAAGTCCCAGTGCTGATACATTTATCAGAGAAACTAATTTTGTAGCAGGACTTACAAAAAGCTTAATTGGTTTCTATTTGCATAACACCTTAAAGGCAACAACAGTCATTGTTGCTTTGAGCTCCTGGAATAAAAAGTTCCATTAATGTATGTATAATACTCCTATTGCAGAAATCGTACAGACTGTGATGTCCTACCAAAGACCTTGACCCAGGGAGGCCGTGATTGATGAGAAACTATCTGCTACATCAGGACCAAAATAATCAAAGCTGATTAAGAAAGTGATCACTAATACAGCTCTGATTAAACATTTACCATAAATTGAACTACATCTTCAGGCTTGTGCTTCGCTGATTTGAAGGCTGCCAGTCGGGTGACAACGACAACGTGATACTCTACGTGGCCAGTCATCATCTTCCCACGGACTTCCTGGTACTCCGGCACCGACAAATCCAGCCCCGTGTGCGTATTCTGAATTTGCCTAGGGAAGAAAAAACACTAGGAGTTCAGGCATTGGCACAAAGACTTCTAACTGACCCTCTCCCAGGACTCAATTCAAAGCCCAAGAAAGTTAGTGCAACGACTTGCATTGCAACAGGCCATCAGACAGACTCTGCCCCAATGCTGTTCCTACTCTGCAACAAGACAAATTTGGCCATAGCCCACTTCCTATATTCTATCCCAGAGCACCTGCCACTAGCCACTGCAGGCAAAATGCCAGGAACATAGCATTTCTGGGAAGAGAAGATGGGGATTCATTCAGAACAGGACTTCACTCTCAGGAGCTGAAAATGCTCTTACTCAGCAGGGCAGGTGAGAAGATCCCATGATCTCTCATCACAGTTTGTTTTGAGGCAAAGGTCTGTTCACTACAACTCATGCCAAGCCCTATCCACCTCTCCTTTGTCTAAGGACATTCCCAAGAATGGCAAAGACAATAGCTGAAAGGGGCCATGAAAGAAGGAGCTTGCTGGAGCACAGGGACAACTTCAGGTTTGTTAAGAGGCAATCAGGCAACCTGATTAAAGCCTGAAATACAAAGAAAGCTGCTGGAGCTGACTGATGGGCCAATCACAGTTTCCATTTGTGAAGGTCCTCAAGGCAAATTAGACAAACACCTGTCGGGACTCAGCAAATTAAAGGACATGATCCCTTGGAGCTGCATTCTGGTTTTGACTCTCTGATTGACAGTCTTGTTGCCAAACAGCAGAAAATCCCACTGGAAACAAAACTACCTGTCCTTTCATACCCAGTTAAATTAGACAATCATAGCATTAACCTCTGAGAGTTGCCAGCAGTCAGAACCACTCACAGCTCCTCTTGGAGGATAAACAGGAGCTGCTGTGCAGTTTACTGAACACATTTTCTTCTTCTGTCAGCTTCAGATCTGTGGAACCAGGGTGTGAGCTTTCCCCAGATTCCCACCCAAGGAATTATTTCATACATTTTTGCAAAAGGAATGCCAGAATTGACCTATATTGCTCACACATCAAGAGTAAGTCCAAGCAGCTGCTGTTGGGTCACAAAAGAGTAAGTTTAAAGAAATAAATAGTCTGTTTCAATAGACTGGAAACCAAAACTAAGCAGTGATCCCCTCCCCAAAGTTATCCCATGCCAAGCCACAGCACACTCGCTACTGCTGTCACTGGAACCAAGCACTCTGCCAGCATCAGAAGGAAGTTTATTATCCAGGGGATTGCCCTCTGAACACATCTCCAAGTGCATCCTTCCAATGTCTGAGTGAATGTTTTTATTGAAACCAGGAGGGATCATTTAAAAAAATAAATTAGAATCATTAAACACTTCTACCTTTTTTAAACTTAACCATATGGGGAATGTCAAGATCCATCTTCCCTGGACTTTCTGTAGATTGCAGAGGTGTTTTGTTGAAGTCTTGCCTCTCTCTTAAGGAAGTTTAGATTCATTAACACAGGTGTCCTTTCACATAAGGACACATGAGATGCAGATCTTAAAATACACTTTTAAGAGGTTTAAACAAGCTCATTTCAAACAAAGTTTCAAGACCTCCTCTCATCACACCAAAACTTGACCAGTTCTTCTGAAACTTGAGCTTTCCCAAGAAGGCAACCTCTGAATCTCCAATGCGAAACTTGAATAAAAAGCTTTTTAAAGGGAGTATCTTGAGAGCTCTTGATAAATAGGACAGCAATAAACAAGGGCACAGGCCCAATTTTGTACCCAATCCTCTTTGCAAGGCATGTTTAAAACACTGAGGCTTTAACAACAGTGCTGGCATCACCACCATTTTACAGTAGGTACCTAAATGCTATCATGTTTGCTCTGATTCTGTTCTCATTTTCTACCAGTCAAGCACTGGTCTTTACACTTTCAGACAAAATTTTGTCCTCAGTTACACGTGGCTGAGCTCTAAGACAGGACCAACACTGCCTGTGCGTGAATACATTGGTGCCTGGCTGTCACACAGCAGTCTGTCAGACCTGTAAGTAAACAGCCATCTGTCACGACCCACCTGGAGGGGCTGTGATGTTTGCAATCAGTTCTTGTCAGACTGAACAAAGACACAGGACCACGTGTCAGGGAACTTCAGGTTTTACTGTACAGTTGCCATAACTCCGGCAACCAACCCAATATTTAGACCCAAAAGGTGTTAGCAAACAAGCTCTTAAATTTGTACAATAGACTTCCATAGGAGTGGAGGATAACAAGGCCTTAACTTACACAATACAATACAGTACACTTCAATAACTTCTCAATTCTCACAACAAGCTTCTTAAAGGTGGCTAATAAGCCACAAGACACCAATATTCAAAGGTGCTGCTCACAAGCCACAATACCACTTTTCACAATCTCCCCACTCCTACAACACACCTCAGTAAGGACTATGGCGGAAAAGTATGATAGCTGTTCTTTGCCCAAGCAAAGCAGGGAGAGAGAGAGAAATAAAGACAGAAAAGTGAGAGAACTAACATAGAATTATCACCAGTTCTTCGATCCTGCATTGGTCCTGCCATGTGGATATTCTGGAGCAAAGCATGAGTGAAAGACAAAGAGAAGAAAGAGAGAGAGGAGAAAAAAGAAAGAGCGAGGAGGCCTGATCCACTCCATTTTATAGTTAACTTGGTGTAGCCTCTTATGTAAACTGGATTTTTCACACTCTTCTGTTCACATGTGCACACCCACTTTGAGCCCTCGCTCAGGAAGTGAGTTAGGAGTGGGAGGGCCTGAGCAGGAGCCTCCTGGTGAAGTGGAAAGTTGGCTCAGAACAGCACTGCCCCACCTCCACAGGGCCCTCTCCTCTGATCACATTCTACTTGTCATCACAGTCAGAATGTTTGAGGCAGAATATGCTTATGTATGGTCCTCCACAGCATCACCTGGAATGTTTGCTGTCTCCATCAAGGGCAGCCAAAATGCTGACTAAAAGAGCACCTGCCACTAAAATCACCTGGATCTGGAGTTTTTAGAATATCCCTGCAGGAGAGGAAATGCTCTCCAGATGTGTAGTCACTCAGAAGCTGTGAATGCAGCTATGGAAGCAAAAAGGTCTGATGGAGAGTACTCAGGAGTGACTTACTAACCCAGGGAAGTGCCTGAGTCACCAATCCTGGAGATATTTGAAAGACATGTAGAAGTGGCACCTGGGGACATGGTTTAGTGGTGGACATGGCACGGCTGGATTAATGGTTGGACTTGATGATCTTAAAGGCCTCTTCCAATCTAAATGAGCCTATGATTCTACTTCTGTTAACACAGAGTATAAATGACAAATTAACCTGCTTTTCACCTCTGATGTAAATAACAGGAACAACAATCCGTGAACCATCCTCCCTGCGTGGCCTTGCTTAGCTGAAAGCACCAACCACACAGAGATATTCTCAGATGACACAACAACAACTTCACTATAAGAGCTGCTGCATCAGAGAGTTCTAAAAATGTCATGAAGTTCATAAATGCCTTATCTATACCCAGGGGGTGTTGTTAAAAGTCTGAGTTAAAGTGACTGTAATGGAAAGTGACTAGAGGGAGAGGGAATAGCTGTATTTTTGTTTGTTTCCTTTAGGCCTTGTGATCACTTTCATTATCATCTCCTACAGGAAACCCACCCTTTATCTCTTCCATAGCAACAGTTTTTTTAATATAAAAAATGATTCTAAATGAGCAGAAATCAGCAGGGAGGCTGAGACAGACAGAGTATACTATCCAAAGCACATCCTAGCTCTTGTAATGCCTTCATTTCAAAACAAGCAGCCTCAGTGTTTTAATTTATTAAATACTATTACTGCTGTTATTCAAACAGAAGCAGCATCTACAAATCCCATGACAGAATTTAATTTCATTGCATTTTTCACATCAAACACAATTATTTTTACACTTGTTGAAACTGTTCACACAGGTTTACTGCTCCTATTCCTCATTTAAATCTAGCTTCTGCACCTCTGAGTTACACTTTTGTCTATAATACTGATGGCTCAGGGGAGACCTGGGCACATGGTTAACCTTCCAAAAAAAGAGTCACTTCACCTCAGTACAACCAGACCATTCATAGCAGTAACACTGTGCTTGCACAATCAAGTCACGTAGTATTGGCATGGGACAGAGGAAGTGGAGACTATAAAAAGGGCAGCCAAACAGGGCAGTTTCCACAGTTTCTGGAACAGCCACAGTTTTTTATTCCGATCTTTTAATTTGCATATAATAATTAAATTGTACTTTAATTAATCTGTTTTCTGTGCCAAAAGGCTGAGATGAGGCCAGGGGGTGGGGAATAATTACTGCAAGAAAGAAAGCAAAGTAAGAGATGAAGTGCTGTGACCAGAGAAACTTGCTCCAGCGACTGTGTGGGGAGCAGAGTGGACTCTGCACTTTCTACCTTGATAAAGTCAGTCCTGTCAGCAGCACCCTGCTCCAACCTCTGCCCAACAGGGACAAAACTGTGACATCCCAGGTCACAATAAAAGAGAAAAAAACTCGTAGAGCTAGTTTGTTTGTTAATGAAGGTGAAATATCAGACACAAATTGCCCACCAAACATTTTTATTTCTCTGTATAGTCTAAATACAAGTATACAGATTATTTATATTCCCACAGCAACCAGGAATCCCATTCCCAAAACCAGCATGCATAGAGTGGAAAAGGTCACATCTACATAGTTATCTTACCTCACAAGCTAGAACATATGTTCATTTGCTAAAGCCTTAATCCCACACATACATATATATACAGTTTCATTGTGGAAAGCATCCCAGTATCAGGGGGACAATTTGCAAGTGGGAAAGTCTATCAACTGTAAAATAAATCCAGATGTTCAGATTTCCAAGGCTAAACCTAGTCTAAAGTCAGTCCTACAAAACACACGTGAGTCAAGTCAGGTACGTTTGAAGGTTCAAGGCCACTGCTCCAAAAGAAGTCAGGCCCTGATACAGCCAAATATTTAAGGTTTAAAATAAACGCTTTGAAGTTAATATGACTGAAGTATTTGTTAGTGATTGGAATAATTGTT